ATTTTTAAAAGATTTATGTATTTATTTATTTGACAGAGAAAGCCAGCCAGCACAAACAGGGGGCGCAGCAGAGGGAGAGGGAGAAGCAGGCTCCCCGCTGAGCAGGGAGCCTGATGCGGGGCTCGATCCTAGCGCCCTGGGATCCTGACCTAAGCCGAAGGCAATGCTTAACCGACTGAGCCACCCAGGAGCCCCATGTTTTTATATAAATTAAACAAAATTATGATTTAATGTGTTATTTGAAACAGTACAATTATAGTCTTTATAACAGCATTTACTCATCTTTATAGCAACACCACCACAGAAAGATCTCTGTAATAACATTCAATTAATGTTAGCACCGTTTATTTCTTTTTTTAAAAAACATTTTATTTATTTATTTGACAGAGAGAGATCACAAGTAAGCAGAACAGTAGGCAGAGAGAGAGGGAAGCAGGCTCCCTGTTGAGCAGAGAGCCCGATGTGGGGCTCGATCCCAGGACCCTGAGATCATGACCTGAGCCGAAGGCAGAGGTTTAACCCACTGAGCCACCCAGGCGCCCCAGCACTGTTTATTTCTAACAGAATTTGAGGTGATTGCTTGTGCCTTCTTTTTGAAACCTTTTTTTTTCTTCCTGCCTTCCTTAATGCCCTTATAACAAGAGTGAAAGATTTTTACACATTATAAACGTGAAGGAATTTTTCTTACAAAGAAAAATTACACACAGGTCCCTTGATTCTTTTCTAGAAATCGAACAAATGACATCAAGCTTTCCATCACATAAGCCTCATTGGAGGTACGGAGAAAGGGTCAATGTGTGGTGCGGCAGAGAATACAGAATTTATCTAAACATGTGATCTAGTCTGTTATCTGATCTTTTAGGAGTCTTTCTACTTTTTCTTAAGCTGTGCCAGATCTGTAGGAGGCAGAGGGAAATCACAGCCCCTTCAACAGCAGATCTGAGACAGGATGTAGTTATCTCTTACTTTTCTACCAGCAATTCCTCTAATCCTAGGATTGTTACAGAATGTTTAAAACAAGACAGTGCACCTAACTAATCATTACATGAAAGGCATGGAATAGGGTAGTAGGGGTTATACATTATAGGATACTCCCTTGAATATGGTCTCCTGAAACCAAATTCACAATATTCTTTTCAGTAAAACAGAAAAAAAAAAAAAAAATCATCTAAGCCGTTTCTCTTTCTGGTCTTTTAGCCAGTCCCTTGTTGGTCTGGTTTTTAATAGCATCTATGCCAGTGCCATGAACTCACTTGAAAGTCTGATTTAAAGCCTAAACATGAGGGCACTTGGGTGGCTCAGTGGGTTAAAGCCTCTGCCTTTGGCTCGGGTCGTGATCTCAGGGTCCTGGGATCAAGCCCCACATCGGGCTCTCTGCTCAGCAGGGAGCCTGCTTCCCTCTCTCTCTCTGCCTGCCTCTCTGCCTACTTGTGATCTCTGTCTGTCAAATAAATAAATAAATAAATAATCTCCACCGCCCCCCCCAAAAAAATAAATAAAGCCTAAACATGAACTTTACAACAGAGGCTCCTTTTCACTCGTACTTTTGAAGAATAAATAAATTTCAACCATGTAGTTAAGTGGTTTTATGTGGGCAATGATGTCTCAAAACGGGCCTAGTTCTGGGAAGCAATTCTTAAAACCCAACTTCAGTATTTCCTCGGTGAGATCAAAGGTGGGGACTCTAGCAGAGCTCCTTGGGACTGGAGCATTTTCAGAGGACTTACACAGGTTGAACACAAAAGAAAATAATTAGGCCATAGAATGCATTTTGAATCATCAGCTTATGAGACAAAGAGCTTTGAATGTCCATTTGTTTTCAACGTGCTCTCAGATTAACCCTTTAAAGGGAAAAGTTTCTAGTCAATATATAAAAAAAAAAAATTCTAAAGGGGAGAAAAATCTACTAAGTCTTATTAGGAACAATATTGATATTTTAAAAATAAGACTATAGGGACACCTGTGTGGCGCAGTGGGTTAAGCATCTGCTTTCAGCTCAGGTTATGATCTTGGGGTCCTGGGATTGAGCCCCGATTTGGGGGGGGTGGTCCCTGCTCAGCGGGTAATCTGATTCTCCCTCTCCCTCAGCCCCTGCCCCTGCTTGTGCTCTCTCTCAAATAAATAAATGAAATCTTTGAAAAAAAATAAAAATAAAAACAAGACTAGATCCTAGTGTTTTTAGAATGACATTTTATATACTGTTTTGATAATCATTACCATTTTATTTTTTTGCATATGTAATTATTTATTTTGAATAAAAAGGCAGTTATCTATCTCCCTCTCTATCAGAGACACAACAAACATTATCTCCTACATTGATTATACACCCTCTGACGTGAAATAGTGTTTGAATCCCTCAGTTTCCATTTCCTCTTCTACAAAATTGGGATTGCAAGTCCTACTGTACCAATTGGAATTGTGTGGAAACAAATTTATTAAAATTATACATAGAGAAATACTTTACAAACTAAACCGAATTTACATAAGCATTTTTTCATTTGAATTTTAGTAGATACAGACTTCTGTTCTGGTTGTCATTGGGTTGTCTGAGGAGGAACTTACTAGAACATATTTACAGATAGTGTAATTTAAAAAGATGAGAGCTCTTAGTTCATCATTTACAATCTCTATAATAATTTAGAATAAAAAGTAGATCATAATTACATGCTACATTCAGTGAATGCATTTGACCACATTCTCATGATGTGTTTTTAATCCTCTCCTTAAACATATCCTCTCAAAAATCTATGCGTACCTTTCACCTAATTATATCAGTCTCTTTCATTAGAAAACTCTTCCTTATATTAAAACAAAATCTATGCTCCAAAATTTCCACCAGCCACCCTAATTCTTCTTTGTGGTATTGCTAAGAATGAATAAAATCCTTTTTATCTACATTGACCTTAATATATCCAAAGCAGAACTTTCCATTTCTTCTTCAAATATGTTCCCCACAGCACATACATCACTGTTTTCTCTTTCCTCTTCTTTTTCCCTTATCACCTCTCTGAGATGCCATCAACCAACGAGTCCAGCGTGTGCCACCATGAGAAGGTAACCTTCTTTTTTTTTTTTTATATTTTATTTATTTATTTGATAGAGATTCCAAGTAGTCAGAGAGGCAGGCAGGGAGAGAGAGGAGGAAGCAGGCTCCCTGCTGAGCAGAAAGCCAGATGTAGGACTTGATCCCAGGACCCTGGGATCATGACCTGAGCCGAAGGCAGAAGCTTTAACCCACTGAGCCACCCAGGCACCCCAGAAGGTAACCTTCTTGTAACTGTTTCTCATTAGCTCAACTGCCACCCCCTTGGTCCCAGACGCATTCGCCTCACAACACAACACAACTCAACCTCGCCATCACAACAGTCTCCTGGTTGGTATTTATTTTCCCAGTCTGGTCCTCCTAGAATCCTTTTTCAATTCAGTAGCCAAATCAACCTTGTTTCTATCCTACAATGGCTTCTTTGCACTTAGGACCCAAAGTCTTTATGTCACTTATAAAGTCCCATGTGACCTTTATGTTGCCTATAACATCCCTCCTGCTGTCAGACCTCCTCACTTAACTCTCTACCATATTGCACTCTGTTCCAGCCAATCTCACCTTCTTGCTGTTCTTTGAACATGCTACCTTCATACCCACCCTAAGGTCATTACACTGGCTTTTTGGAAAGAGTATACCTTGTATCTTTCCATGGCTGGCTCCTCATCACTTAGGTCTCTACTCAAATATCACCTCCTGCCATGGATCAAATGTTTGTGCCCCAAATTCATATGTTGAAATCTTAACACTCAGGTGATGGTATTAGGAGCTAGGGTCTTATCCCCTCATGGGATTAGCACCCTCATAAAAGCAGCTTGAGAAAGCTCCCTCCCCCACTCTGCCCCATGAGGTTACAGTTAGAAGATGGCCATCTGTGAGCAAGTGAGTCCTCACCAGACGCTGAATCTGCTGGCGCCTTGATCTTGGACTTTCCAGCCTCCAGAACTGTGAGCAATAAATTTCTGTTGTTCATCAGTTACTCTGTCTGTGGTATTATGTGACAGCAGCCTGGACAGACCAAGACACCTTCCCAGAGAAGAGTTTACCACCCAACTGACAACAGCTACACACTTTCTTCACTGTTGCAATTATTTTCATAACATTTACTAATACCTGAAATTTTATATTTATACTGTTTATTACCCCTCTCCCACTCCAGAATATAATCCTAAGAGGGCAGAAATAATATAGATCTTGTTTATTATTTTATCTTAAGTAGTTTCTATGATGTGCGATTGTGCAGAGTGAGTGAACGTAGCAGGCCTGAGAATTCCTTACTTAGAAATGCCTGTTTGGAAGGCTGGCCTTTGGCTGGCGTCAGCAAACCTAAGTAGTAAACAATTTCCTATTCTGATATAAAACTTTCTCTAAATGAAGAGTGACTCATTGTGCCTTGACTATTTGTGCAAATAATGCAATTTGTGTTGAACATCTGCTTTCCTTCTAGGAGTCTAGATTTTAGTACTTACTAGGCAGAGGACACCTATGTAACCAGCCCTCAATAAAAACTCTGGGAACTGAGTCTCTAATGAGTATCTCTCATTAACAACCCTTCATGCATGTCGTCATCCTTAGATGCTAGTAGCATTAAGTACATTCCATGTGATTCCTCAAAAGAGGTCTCTTAGACACTTGCTTTGTGTTTTCTCTAGACTTAGTCCATGTGCCTTTTCCTTTTGTTAATTTTGCTTTGTATTCTTTCTCTGTAATAAATATTAGCCATGAGTACAATAATAGCCTGACTCCTTTAGGTCCTCTTAGAAAAATCACCGAACCTCATGGGAGTCTCAGGGACCCTGGACATACCAAACAAGAAGCTAACCTCTCACCCCAGCTAAAAATAAGCAAAGAGAATAAGACTTAAAAGAATTCCATAATGTGGTGATAAATCCAATATGAAAATGAATCCCATCCTTCTCTGAGGTATACTACCCCACTATAAAATCCATTTGGTACTTACGTGACTGGCCTATAGATCTCCTTAACACCAATGAACTGAAGTTGTTCCATAATGTCTGGAATACTTGCACACCGAGTAAGATTAATTCTTGGGTAATAAAGAAGGTATGAGAGACACATTTCATTTCTGGTGCTTAATCCTCCCTGAAAATGGAGATATTTTATTTAGAGAAGTGTATGTTCCACCAACTCTAACACTTAGAGCACACAAGCCACCAATGTCATACAATTCCCTCCAATATTGAAATGTAGGGGCGCCTGGGTGGCTCAGTGGTTAAAGCCTCTGCCTTCGGCTCAGGTCATGATCCCAGGGTCCTGGGATCGAGCCTCACATTGGGCTCTCTGCTCAGCAGGGAGCCTGCCTCCTCCTCCTCTCTCTCTCTGCCTGCCTCTCTGCCTACTTGTGATCTGTCTGTCAAATAAATAAAAATCTTAAAAAAATATATTGAAATGTAATAAGTCTGAAACTGAGCAATAATAATCTGAGTGACAATTTGATTTTTAAAGAGGTAGAGACACATTGAAAAATTAATAGAATGATGTCCATCTCTTTAAAAGTTTCCTTTTTTAAACAACCTAATAATCTCTTTCAAGTTTTGTTCATTTGATGAAAACTATTTGCCACAGTGAACATTTGAAAGGATTATGGGGATGTTTGGTTAACATGATACTAATCAGTCAGGTCAATGGAATCGTTCCTTGGCTGCACTGAATTTTCTATAATCTTGTTGTCATGTATAAACATAAGAAGACACATACCACAGAGAAGATAGATTTCAAATTTCAAATCAAGGTGATAAATTAGATATTGAAAGTAAAAAGATTAAAGCTCCTCAGGAGAACACAATTTAGAACTATTACATGTTACAGGGTTAAATTTTCAACCAGAAGTTATTAAACATAAAAAGAAATAGGAAACTATGATCTGTACTCTGAAAATAATAAAGTTACCAGCAGAAACTGATTGTGAGAAGCTAAAGATGCTGCATTTAGCAAAAACTTAAAAACAGATAAAAATATGTTTAAAAAGTTAAAGATGCTCAAGTAATTAAAGGCAAAGACATCAAAAATGAGTAAACAAATAGAGAATGACACCAGAGAAAAGAAAACATAAGAACAAAGAAAATAGAAATTCTAAGGTTAGACATTACCATCATTGAATAAAAAATTCTCAGGATGAGTTTAACAACAGATTTGAGATGGCAGAAGAATCAGTGACCTTGAAGATAGAACAATAGAAATTTTCCAATCCAAAGAACAGAGAAAGAAAAGAAAAACAAAACAAAACAAAACAAAAAACTAAAAAAAGTGAAAATATTCCAGAAAATACTTCAAAATACGATATTAAATGTTCCAACAGATATGTAATTAGATTTCCAGAAGGAGAAGGAAGAGAGAAAAGGGTAGGAAAAAAATACTTGAAAGAATAATGGCTGAAATCTTTGCAAATTTAGTGAAAAACATTTACAGACCCAAGAAGCTCAACAAATACCAAAGATAAATTTGAAGAGAGCCATACCTAGACACATCATAGTCATATAGCTGAAAGCCAAAGACAAAGAGAAAATCTTGAAAGCAACAAGAAAAAAATGACACATTACATGTAGGGGACCAATGATATGAATGGCAGCCAACATTTCATCATAAGTGATGGAAGTAAAAAAGAGATATTAGGATTACAGATTCATGGGCTGCAGGGAAAAGTAAATTAACCAAGAATTCTGCATCCAGCAAATCATCTGCTCTTCAAAAAGTGAAGGTGGAAAACTTGGCAGTATTGTTCATAGTTCTAAATTAATGCAGTAGCTAAAATGCAATGATTTTACAAATTGCAAAACACATGTTTTGCAGGATTAAGCAAAGGGAGAAGCTAATCTACAAATGAGGTTACAAGTGATGCTTCATTAAAAATCATATTTAATTGATCCCAGCTGGGATGGCTATTCAGAGTGGTACTAAATTGCAGGAAGGGAGCCCGGCATTTGTATCCTCCCATGAACCAGTCATTACAGCTGGCTGCCCCACTGTGGGGAGCATGACTTCAGGTGGGGCATTTCCTGATACCAAAGGCAATGCCCAGTGAATGACACGGTTGTGAGTTATCATCAGATACTTTCAGTTTAGCTGTGCTGGCTTTGAAGAGGCCACCAAAATATCCACTAAAATAATAACGTATGATGTCTGTAGTAAAATATTTCATGCAAACAAAATCACATATAAGGCACAAAACAAAGCCAACACCAGTGGACTGACTGCACCCTCTGTGCTCATTTTTAATTCTCCTCTTCCCCATCCTAACTGAAGATGAGGATTATCTCACCACTTGATTAATCATTCTATTGCCTTTCAAACCCTTTACTTTCCATTTACTGACATACATAGGCATCCCTACATCCACTTACATTTTGTACGTTCTACAACTTTAGGTACCCCCGGGGTTCTGCTTAACTTGTCCTTTTTATTCTTCTGATACATTCATGTTAACATGCATGGCTTTCACTCATTAATTTTCACAAATATATAGTGTAAATATATTCTATGGACATATTATATTGTATTTATTTGTCATTTTTTTGATAAACAGTTGGGCTGTTTCCAGCTTTGTGTTCCTGTGTTGTCACACGCTACCACAAATATTTTATCTATTTCTCTCCAGGAACACTTCCTGCAAAAAGAACCTTAAGGTGAAATCCACAGAGGAATGGAACTGGGTAGAGCATCTGTGAATCTAGAGCTTTGCCGGATGATGTCATGCTTTTCCCCACGGTGGTTTTATAAATTTACATTTAGCTATATGCAAGAACTCCAGTTTTAGAACATTGGAATAGCAATTTTAAATTTTGCCAACCTGATGGGTATAAAATATCTCATTCTGGTTTATATGTGCACAATTCTGATTTCAAATGAGATTGAGCATCCTTTCCTGTGTTTATTATCTATTTGGGCCTTTATTTCTGTGAAATGGTTTCTACCTACTGTTTTATTTTCTATGATCTATTTGTCTTACATTACTGATTTATGAATTTTTTTATATGCTGGATATTAATGTTTTATTAATCTATGTAATACATTTTTTTTTTTCAATTTAAAACTTGTTTTTTCACTCATTTAAGTGGTTCTTGGTAACCAAAAGATTTCAAGTAGTTAAACTCATCAGTCTTTTAAAGTTCGTGCTTTTTATGTTTTAAGTTTTTTAACTACTCTCAACAACATAAAAATATATTCATATATTTTTCTCCCAATAGTTTTAAGATTTTGTTTTTCACATTTAAATATTTAATTTAAATACCTGGAATTAGCTTGTTTGAGTATTGTATACCCAGTTGTGCTAGTATTCTTTAGTGGAAAGTCCATTCTTTCCCACCTAAATGGATATTGTGTCTGTTCTAAACCAAGTTTCCATATAGGGGGTTTGTAGGCCAGTCTCCAGGATTCCTATTATGTACCACTATTCTAACTCTGGACCCAAAGACACTACTGATCACCATAGCTTTAAAATAAGCCTTCACATCCAGCAGATTGTCTCCATCTTTTACTTTATAGTAGTGTCTTGCCTGTTATTAACCCTTTGCTCTTCTATGTAGATTTCAGAATCTACTTGCTCCATATAAAAGCTAAAACTGGAAAATTTTTAGAAATATGAAAAAAAATTAGAGAAAATCTTCATAGCTATGGCTAGGCAAGGATTTCTTAATTAGGATATGGGAATCTCAAATCATAAAATCTCTCTGATTTTTTTTACTGAAAATATATCAAATTAATAGGCCAATTTGAATAGAAGGATTATCTTTATCTTATGGAGACCTCTTCATTTCTTTAAGTTTAGTATAAAGTTTTATAAATAAGGATTTATAATTTTTTCCCCATGGAGATCAAACACATCTAATGTTAGATTTTATTTCTATAGAACTTAGAGTTTTAAAATGCATTTCCTTAAGATAGTTTCTTATATACTAAAATATAGTTAATTTGGGGGCACCTGGGTGGCTCAGTGGGTTAAGCCTCTACCTTCAGCTCAGATCATGATCCCAGGGTCCTGGGATCAAGCCCCACATCAGGCTCTCTGCTCAGCAGGGAGCCTGTTTCTCCCTCTCTCTGTTTGCTTCTCTGCCTGCTTGTGATCTCTGTCAAACAAATAAATTAAGAAAAAAAAATATGTGTGTGTGTGTGTGTGTGTGTGTGTGTAGTTAATTTTAGATATCAGTTTTGAGGGGGTTTTAATGTAGAAAATTATAATATCTTTGAAAATGTGTTTTGCTTCTTTGCTTCTTCTTTTCTGATCCATAGGACTTATTTTTTTCCTTTCCTAGTACAATGTTGAATGGAAATGATGATAATAAACATCTTTGTCTTCCTCCTGATATTAAGCCAATACTTCTAATATTCAAGTAGTTTGATATTTGCTACAGATTTTTCATAACTAAGCTTTATCTGGTTAAGGAAATTCTCTCCTATTCCTAGTTTGTAAAATGTTCTCTTTTTACGACTGTCTTAAATCTTATGAAGGCTTTTTCCTACCCCTATTGACATGATCATATGTCTTTTTCCTTCAATCTCCTAATGTAGAATAGTATTATTAATATATTTTCTATCTTAAACCAATTTACATTCCTTAGCTAAACCCAAATTGGTCCTAACATTACATTTTTATATAATACAGAATTTGGTTTGCCAATATTCCCTCAAAGGTATTTCCATCAGGTGCATGTTGTTGACCTCTTGAATACTATCACTATCAGTTTTAATATGAAGATTATGCTAACTTCATAAAATGAGTTGGTAGGAGGTGTTTCCTGGGAGAGACTACGTAAGGCATGAAGGGTCTACTTCTTGAGTGTTTGTCAGGATTCCTCAGTAAATCTGTTGGGACCAAATTTCTTTTTGGGTCAGAAGCCCTAAAGTCATACAATTCATTCTTCTTTTTGAAGTCTTGATTCATCTAAGTCGGGACTCAAGCAGATGGTCATTTGCGACCACAGGTCTTTAATACAATTTGCTGAGGAAAAACTAAAAGACTAGGATAGCTTTTCATGAAAGGGTCAATAAACTATAGTGCAAATATTGCCATAGAATCATTAATCTGCTAAAATGCTAAAATAACTTTCATTTCACTCTTATAATGTTTCATGCTCAAGACATTCAGGAATTTTGCCCCAAATGGGAATGCTTTTTGCTTTTTCTCTTCTAAAATCAAAGTCTATTCCTCCTTCTCCACAAATGGATTTTAATAACAATAAAAATTTTCTTACCCAAGTCATCCGGGCTCTATCTTTTGTGTTGTAACGACACTCGGTAATTAGATTATCTCCCTAAAACATAAAAATAAAAGCTTTCAGATTTGGGTTTTAGGCTGTTTTATTTATCTATTTGTAGGCCAATAGTTTTATTTGCTTTTTGAGTCGGTTCATTAAGAAATTTGATCCAGAGGAAACTTGATCTACTGAATTCTAAGACTGCTAGTATAATAAACAAGCAAACCAACAAGATTCTCTCAGGCCAGACTCCAGCATGTTCTAGCTGTATGACCTTAGGTAAGAAAAAGAATTATCTGGGCACAATTTATTTATTTAAGCAATAATTTTGTAAAATAGCTGTTATTTTGCAAAGCTGTGAAGAGATTAAACGACATAACATGCATTTAGTTCTTAGTGCAAATGAAACACTTCATAAATGTTAGTCATAGAAACTAGTTACATAAATGTTAGTCATAGATACTAGCTATTGTGATTCCCTCTTCATTTATATTCTTTTCTTTAAAGGTCTTTAGTCACATCTTTATTTCCTCACAACAGACTTGTGAAGCAAAGTAACAGTTATTGTTCCAATGTTTTCTAACCTTTTGAACAATTCTGCATACACAGAAAATAATTTTTTGATGGCTCACCACTCAGAAAGATGGACAGGCTATTCATGGACCAGAGGCAGCTTGTGCTGGGTGCTGGTCCCTAGATTTGATCTCCCTGGACCACTACTCCAAAGGCCCACAATCTCAACACACTGTATCTCAACACACTGTCCTCCCACACTGCCCTTCCATAACCCCAATGATTGTTGCAAGCTGGATAATTAGCTCTGTCTGAAACCTGTGTCCAATGAAAGAATTATCCTTATCTTTATTTTTACCAAAATCAAACTTCCCCAAACTCTCCTATGGTATTTAAGAAAAAAACAAAAACACAGACACAAACAAAAACAAAAACACCCTCTTATTTTTGCATTTCCAGAATTGCAACCCAAAGGTTTACTGGAAAGTCAAGTAAGAGAAGAGTAATGTTTGGTACTCAGAACCCGAGTTTTTCTTCTCTTTTTAAATCAACAACTTGAGTTGCCCCTGGGAATGGTAAGAAAAGTGAGTTTTGATTTTGGAAATCAGATCAAACACATTCCATCTGGGTTGTGCAACACCCACAGTGGGTGGCTTCAAGAATATGAGTACGATGAGCAATTCACTTTACTGGTAGAAACCTTGCTAAATCGCAGTAGAGAGATGCCTTGACTTCTCTAAGATACAGTGAAAAAGAACAAAACATTCATACGGGTAAGATTGTTTGTTCTTCCCTTAGATACTGAAACTCCTGGAAATTGAAGTCAAAATCATCATCATAAGCCAGTAATCTCATTTCCTCCCCTTTGCGAAAATGACGGAGCCTGATGCCCCTGCCAGCCAGGTGAGCGTGGAGAAGAACAGCAAACACTTGGATTCCACTTGGCTTCTCAGCTTCCAGAGCCTACAGACGGGGCACGCAGAGGAAGACACAATTAGCCCAAATAAGCACATGTTCAGACAGTTCACCATAAAAGAACTTGGAGGGACAACTGAGAAGAAAATCTAAAGCAATTTGAGTGAATGCTTGAGCAGCCAAACATTTTGAATTTGGATTTTTCATGACTTGCTCCTAGCAGTGTTATCTTTGTGAAGTAACATTTGCGGTCAAAAAGGAAAGGGAACTAATTAATGCTTACTGAGGACCTATCAGATCACCCCTAAACGTTATCTTTCTTTTCAGAGGTAAAGAGTCAATCAAAGTCATCTTGATAAAAAGATTCCAGCATGTTAGTAACCTGTAAGTAGAAACTCTTAAAAGGAAAAATGATTCCCACTTTCTGAGATAAGAAAACCAGGTGGAAGAGTGGAATTATATGAATTGCCCTTGGTCATGGCAATTTGAATCATGGTGTAAATACCTCAAAGGGAATAATCCTTCCATTTCATCAGTCTGCCATCTGTCTATAATACAATAGCTTATAATTTGTAAAGAATATGATCTAAGTTAAAACATGTTCATTTAAGAAAAAAGAACTGTAAAAAGAAGTAGCCATTATTAAATATTTTTACATGGTTTTCCTGACCCAATATGCATTTTTATATTAAGTACTCCTGCTCTTTGGTTTAAGTAAGAAGGAAACTGTGAAGCAAAGAGAAAAAAAAACTGAAAATGAATAATGGAAAAAACAAATCTGGATAAAAGGTGAAATTGAGAAATGAAAAAGTGATCACATGAACCAAGGTAGAAATTGTAAGAGATAAAATAAAGTGTCAAATGTTAAAAAAAAAAAAAAAGAAAAGTAGGTCAGGAAGGAAACCATCCTGGGAGGTATTTTTGTCCAGAATTCTACTCTTACAGCCTTCAAGATTTTAAAAAAAGCAATCAAAGGTCTTGCTACAATGATAAGTAATGGCTTTAGAGCATGACAACAAGAATAAGATGAATAATAATAAGCATGGGATTCACCAAACATAGTTTTCCAAGAACACTGATGAATCAATGAATAGCAGCTCACAGACTTCATCCTCCACATACCTCTTCTAGGCATTCCAGAGTGCAGTGACCCTCGGACCGGAATTCAGGCATCCCTGGAGGGATGGTGTGGAAGAGGCTTACCCAGAGGCCAGCCTCGATCACCCCAGCATCGTACTTCCTTATGTCTGCTGTATGAAATAACCTCAGTCCAGAATTATCTATTAAGCCTGGAATAAGAGCATATAATTAAAAGCGAGTTTGAGTTCTCAAAAAAGGAATTTCTCTACATTCAGTTGAATGGATTTGTGAATTTTCCTTAAAACCTCACAAAGGAAAGAATTACAAGTAAAGATTAATGGAAGACAACATTCAGGTTCACAAACAACAGTTAAGGGGTGCCTTGGCTCAGGTCATGATCCCAGGGTCCAGGGATTGAGCTCCACATCAGGCTCCCAACTCAATGGGGAGCCTGCTTCTCCCTCTGTCTACTGCTCCATCTGCTTTTGCTCTGTCTCTCTCTGTCAAATAAATAAATAAAAACTTAAGAAAAAAACAGGAATGAAAACGTAAGTTGTCATATTGTCTGCAACCATTTTTGACTTACACAGTATACCATGGGAGAAATGTTTGTGTTGTCTAGCTGATAATATTCCACAATGATCTAACATAAAGACAGACAGAAGGAAAATTCTAGTCACTCATTAGAATATAGACTAACTCAACAAAACTTTATTTTATATTGTTTTCAGGTAAAGTTCAGTAACATTTCCATAGACGTAAAAGCCCTTTTGTCTAGAGACCACCTGCTGACAGAATAAACTACTGATGATTAATTTTCTTTATAGTTTGCCACCATTCTTTTAATCACTTAACAAAGTAGTCATTCAATCAACAAAAAATATTAAGAATCTATTCTGTGACTAGAAAGCACAACAATAGGCATGTGAGGATGAAAGATGAGTAAGATACATTCCTTCCTGAGACAGTTATCATAAGGAGGGAGAGAATGAGACCCAAACCCTTCATAAATTTGTTCCACTGACTTTGAAAACTAACTGACTCCTTTCTGCAGGGCTGACTTACTTACCTGTCATTACCAAATTGACACTTCGGAACCATTGGCATATACATAATTTTATATTAATTGCTGTGATTATTTTTATTGTCTCTCTTTCTTACTACACTATAATTTCCACCTGGTTTGGTGTGTTTTTCACTCACATTTAAGCACGGAGCAGAGACATAGTTGGTGCTCAGTATTTGCTGAATAATTGCACAAATCAGTGTAAAATAATAACTTTGAGTTATTTCTGTTGAGAACTTCATATTGAATCTTTAGACTTTTTGGTTTTGGAATATTAAATAAATAGGTTTAGAAAACTAGATTCAGAAATCAAATGTAAGTATAAGCCCTCTTCACTTAAATATCATATTAAATAATATCATTGCATAAATATTTCATGAGCATATTTATGGTTTTCCTACCACATAACAAAATATTAATATTTTCTAGTGTGATGATTGGTAGCCTTTCATATGTACAGTCAGAAAATGTTTCATAAGCACTATGTTTTGGGAACTAATTTATATCACAAAGAGAAAAATCTATTATCCTACTTCTTGGAAAGTGAGATGCACTTTTTTTTAAGATCAGTGACCACACGTATCCATTTTGCCCAGTTCATGGCTCGTTGATCACTGTTGTCCCAGTGTAATTTTTAATAGTATCCTCATTTGCTATAAAAAGTATCCTAATTTGGATGACAAACATATAGGTTAATTCCTTCTAATATTGGGCGGCAGTATATTTCAACCCTGTTAAGATGGGAGTTACAGAACTTTTAAAAATCATAGATAAAACATATAAAGAATAAACTCACCCTCCTTATAAGTCGGATTGTCATAATGGACCTCCAGGAGCACATAACGAGGATCTAACGGAGTGCCAAGGGATAATCCAACATGAGGTGGATAGGAAAAACCCTAAGTAAGGAAAATTCCGTAAGACGTGCCCTATAAAAGTCCCTAAATGTTCATTTCCACTCAAAAACCAACCATTCTCAAAGATACTTCAACTTTCTGGAACTCCATGATCTAGAGTGGATATAACAAAATGGCTTAAGGAGAGAATCGCTTCCAATGGAAGGAAAAATAAGCCATCCTCCTATTAGAGATAATGTATAGAGCTTTACTTATAAGTATCAGAACCGAAGGGGGAAAAAACATGGGCCACGAATAGTGTCCCATCTCAGTAATCATTGGTCCCACCTCTCCACCAATGGCCCAGGCAAAAATAACGGTCTCGCAGGTGAGGAAGGCATCAGGCATGTTAGGGTGGTAGCACTCGTGGCCATAGTCCAGGACACTGTCGTTAAAGCTGCTGCTGCACTGATAGAGCAGGATGTGGTGGACCAGACTCTCGTGGCCTCTCTCTATCAGCGGCTCCACCTGAACAAAGCACAGACGAGAGGAAGGGGGCCATGAGTCAAACCCCCATAAATCCCCAGTGCTAGGCAGGAAACTAGCAGAAACGATGATCAGTTTTTCAAGGGAATCCTCCTCTCAACTATGCCAAGGTTATGATGTGGTTCAAAACTAATTTGTTCTGCAGAAGATAACAAGGATAATGATGGTGACACCGGCAATGGCGAAGGTGAGGTAACCCATGGGGCACCTGGGTGGCTCAGTGGGCTGAGCATCCAGCCTTTGGTTTCAGCTCAGGTCATGATCTCAGGGTCCTGAGATAGAGCCTCACCTCATGCTGGGCTCCAAGTTCACTGGGGAGTCGCTGGAGGTTCTTTCCCTCTGACCCTCCCCTGACTCACAGGCTCTATCTCTCTCAAATACATAAGTAAGTAAATCTTAGGGGGGAAAAAAGATGAGATAATGCTTTCCTCCAGGAATCACAGGATTTACTGATCTGTTTGGGTTTTAAATTCACTTTCGTTTTCCTTAACATTCTGTGTGGCAGCTGTTTCAAAACATGCTTTCTTCCAGGCTACTTTGCCCTTGGGCCCCTTCCCTCTTTTTTCTTTTCTTTTCTTTTCTTTTCTTTTCTTTTCTTTTCTTTTCTTTTCTTTTTTTCTTTTCTTTTCTTTTCTTTTCTTTTCTTTTCTTTTCTTTCCTTTCTTTCTTTCTTTCTTTTCTTTCTTTCTTTCTTTCTTTTTCTTTCTTTCCTTCCTTCCTTCTTTCTGAGTCATAATGAGTCACACTGTGGCTAACCACATTTTTAAAAAATCAAGATTGTAAATAGACATAAACTTTCTCAGTCTCTCTTCCACCTCAAAATATTACCTTTATTGATCTTTATTGATGGTGACAGATGATGTGTCATTCGTCTGTTATCTAGCTAGCTAGCTAGTTAGCTATATCATCTTTCCATTATCAACCTATCGATCTATCATCTATATTTCTATCTGGTGCTAAGCATAGTGCTAGACACAAAGCAGGGCTCAATAATGGATAGTTTTATTTTAGTGATTAAAATAAAATTCTTACTATGAGTATCTGGGAGAGAAAACGACATCATAGTAATGTGCTCCTGTGACATCACTCAAATTAGGAAAGGAAGTAGAAACCAGTGAACAGAGAATGAGCGGTCAAGTTGGTTCTAATACTGACATCCCAGTGCATGAGAGCATGTTCCTTCTGTGGTCCCTCCTGTGAGTTCTCTTAATACCACCTGCCCACCTTCCTCCGTCCAGGAACTCGGAAAGAGCTAAGTGCATCTGCAGGTCCCCAAGTGCCGTGCCTGCAGGAAGCTGCCTGCAGTAACTTACCTGTGGCTAAGTTACTTAGTTGTACTAAGTACAGGGCTCCAGGGTTCAGGGTTCATTGGACACTCCATACATCTGCCAAAGAAGCCCTAGTGTGTCCCTAAATTTCCAAGGCTTTACCTGCCTTAGAGCTCAACACCTTCACCCTTACCCTACCTAACTATTCAAATGCAGGCAACGCATTTTGAAACCCTTGCTTGTTCCCTGCTTTAGACATGCATATAAAGATAGTGTTTTTAGCTATTCTCTCTCCTAAGGCTTTCCATTTTGATTTTCTACATAGTTTTTTTTTTCTTTCTTTCTTCTTCTTTTTTTTAATCAGAAAATCAAAGCACCCACACAGGGAAACAGTATGTAGTAGGCAGAGATCTGAGTAGGCAGCTGGAGGTCCCACTTTTTCAACCCAGCTTGCCTCTGTGTTGCATTGTGAGTCACACTGCGGCTAACCCCCACACACTCATCTTTAACATCACATTCACAGAAATGACATTGCACATGGCTTTGTTTGCACTTGTTTCGCCTCTAAAGGAGCGCGCACCCTGGAGGCAGAAACTATTTTCTATTTTGTTTGAAAATGACAGTTATTGTTCAAGCATGGTTGCATAATACAGGACGCAAACGGGTAGCCTAGGACTGCGATTAGATTTCAGCCCCCACATCTGGTTTGAGCTTTCTCGTGAGACGTCAGTGGGCACCTCGAGCTCCAAGGGAGATGCAGCCCTGCGAGCAAGTCCACAGGAAAAGAGGCACAGGAGACATTTTCTCGAAGTGCCTTATGGTTCAGGCAGAACCTGTAGGTTGTGCTTAGCTCCACAAGGTCAGTCCCAGGAGGGAGCCAGGAGGACAAACGAAGGTTGGTATTGCTGAGGCAGCTACAGAAACAAATGGACTTCATCGAGGCACAGCGAGAGAGAGAGAGAGAGAGAGAGAGAGAGTGTTAAGACTGTGTGTGTAGAATTTATTAAGCTTTTAAGGAGCTTCATGTCAATTTCTTAAAAGAAACTTTTAGAAACAAGTACTTTATTTTATTTATTTATTTTTTTAATACAATGAGTGCCGAAAACAACAGCAAGCTTCTAAGCTACTAGTGCATTCTAGGAATAATAATAGTAACATCTGTATTTTATTTAACACCTACTCTACTATCTGCCAGTCACTGGATTTGTCATTTCATTTAATATTGACAGCAATCTATTAGGTTACTGTTACTGACTCCATTTTACAGATGAGAAAACTGAGACTCAGAGGATTAGGCAACAAGCCCAAAGTACCAAGGCAGGAAAGAGTAGATGGAGATTTGAGACAAGGCTGGTCTGACCCCAAAGTCAGTACTCTCCTAGCTGCAACACATCATTGCTGGAGATGCGTCCGGCTCTGGAAGCTGCTCCCAGTGAGAGGGAAGGGGAAGACTGGGAGCCTTACATCTTGGGGGGAGGCAGTCTCCTGCCCTCCTTGCCACCCCAGTTCAAGTGTCCCTTGGCCCTTAGGGAGACGAGACAGGTGGTGGCCTTTGGATATGTTGTTTCCTAAGGAAAGCAAATAACAAGGTCTCTCTTCAAATCCCGAGGTCTTCAAAGAGAATTAAATTGTAATTTCACCTCCAGATTACAAACCGAGGGGACAGCCTGAAAGTTTTTCCCAAGAAAAAAATACATTCATAAGAGAACAAGGAAACTTTCTGCATGCAAATTTGAGCACTGTTCATAGGAGAAAGTATGAAGGCTTGGAAGAAGCAAAGCTCTTGGCAAAACAGAAAGGATGTGAGATGGAAGTTCAAACAAAGAGAAGTGAGGATAACTACTGAACGAAGATGCCACTAATATCAGAGAAAAAAAAGCAGGTTATCAAACCACTGAAGAACAGAAGAATTTCTGGAGAAGGAATTTTAAGATGACCGTGTGGAATAGTTCATTGAGACCCCAAGGATATTCCCCGTGGGCAGTCGTAGCTTGTTCAGTGCAGGGGACAAGCTCCAGGGAATGAGAGCGTCTTGACCAGAGTGGGGCTGGCTCTCTCTAGGTGCTCCGCACGGAGCAGAATTGCCCACAAAGCTTCCTGCCACACCTCCAGAGCACAGTGATGCCAGTGCCCTGCTCCCAATCCCAGAAAAGACAGCTGCTCATTATCCGCTGCTTCCTCAACCAGCTCCACAAACCTGCTGTGTCATCCTTCCTTAGCCCAAACAAGGCTGGGGCCCCAGACCGGGGAGCGCCCTGTGCAGATGGAGAGAGCGCTGCTCCATAATACAGCCTTCAGGTAGGTGGAATGCAAGCATTAAACACTACTCTTTCTTGTGTATTTGGGAATTGTCTGTGCAAGAAAGACTACTGCTTCTGCATCATTGCATCATTTGAAATAATCGTTTAATTTTTACATTAAAAGTATTTCTGAGACAAAAAGGCTATAGGGAATCATTGCTTCTAAGGGACAGCACTTAAACAGGGAGACTTACTTTGGTTACTTCAGAGATGTCACAGTATCATAACAATCTCAATGGAAATGCCAAAAGTTGCTTCTATTAAAAAAAAATATTAAACTTACAAAAATTGTCAAAGAAGTTCAGGGCAACGTAAGGTATGCAGATGTGGATAAATGGGTATTTCTGAGACTGGGACAAACATTTAATTTTACTTTTGTTTTAGGCTGGCTGTATGATTGCAGAAGAAAAAAATTAAAAGGAATAGAAAATGCCTATGGAAGTGGGACACAGTGACACCAACACCTGATGACAGAGTTCTTGATTCCTGTGTTCTTGTACGCAGGGGTGACTTACGGACCAGAACAGATGGGAATTCCCTACACCCATCTTCACATGCATTAGAGGCCCAGCAAGGATGGCCTGGCACCTGTGGGTTATCTTTAGCCCCCATGCAGAGCAAAAGAACAGTCTAGAAAAGAAATCACAGATGGAATAGGGATGAGAGAGAAGCCTTCAACCTGAAGGACAATTTTTTTTTTTAAGATTGTATTTATTTATCTGAGAGAAACAGAGAGCATGAGAAGGGGGAGGGTCAGAGGGAGAAGCAGACTCCCCGCCGAGCAGGGAGCCTGATGCGGAACTCGATCCCGGGACTCCAAGATCATGACCTGAGCCGAAGGCAGTCACTTAACCAACTGAGCCACCCAGGCACCCAACCTGAAGGACTTTTAAGAGTAAAACTGTCTCCAGTTAGTTCAAGTAACTGAAACTCTGGGGTGCTCTTGAGAGGACTTAGCAGTAAAAGAGAAAACAAGAAAAAAGAGAGATACTAAGCATAGCCAAGAACAATGTGGAAATTAACACTGTAAAACTGAACCTGAGAACTGCGAAGCCCCAAATATTACACTGTTCTCATGACCCTGTCATCTTCTTACCCTCTTTATCCAGGTCAATATGTCTAGCATAATCCCTGCCACACAGAGACTGCTTAATAACTATTTATTGAATGGAAATGAAGCCTTTCCACCAGCAAGACTGAGTCATCAAATTTATGGCCTCCTAATTTCTTGATTGTCTCAATGCCAGTGACCTATCCTGCATCCCCGCATCCCACCTCAGCAACCGAATCCTCCTGTCCCACCCTGCACTTATAACCACCCAGGACTGTCCTCCTTCGAAAGCTCTTTTTCTGTCCCTCTTTCCTGCTGTTGGTTCTTTCACACCTCTCCAGTCTCTAACCTACCACTTCTTCC